ACGCGGGTAAAATCCGTGTTGACTGGTTTTGGGCCGGGTTTGGGTTTAAAACCGTTCACTATTCACCGGGTTGGGTTGTGTTTGGGTTTAGGTAAACCCGGCCCATGGGTACCCGCCCACACCCATATAATTAATTTTCTCGGCATATTAAATATTTTAAACAACTAATCTTATTATGTTTGTGGAGACATGTCGAATTTTTTCTTTCTAGTTATGTAGAATGAAGTTGATGTTATCGAGTGGAGAGTGAAAAACTTAATTGAAAGGAAGAAGCTTTCAATTAATCATGTTATTTATGGATAATTTGTGATTTGCTTCAATTTTCTTGAGTTTTCTACATTAGTGTTGAACAATTTGTATAGTTAATTTGTGATTTGCTTGAATATTCTAATATGGTGTTTTATATATGGATAATTTGTATTGAGAGATTGATATTTGACTTTAATTTTGATAGGAACTTGTTATTATGAATTTTTTACGACAAAACCCCGTGGGTACCCATGAACCCTTGGATACCCAGCGGGTTGGGTTGGAGCTTTTCAAACCCAGTGGATTTTACCCCGGGTTTTTTTCACGGATAAACCCATGGGTTTGGGTTTGGGTTTGGCAAAACCCGACCCAGCCCGACCCATTGCCATCCCTAGACATATACAAGAAACAAATGGTTTGAGTACAACTGACATTTAGTTTGGTTCGGCCGGTTCATGTAGTTTTTTTGCTTCATTTTTAGAAGCAGACTGAATATTGAATCGAAAAAGTTAGTGGTTTGAAGTTTAATAATTAACCATAACAGATCGTTGGCTAACCATTGATAGAACCATTCATGCACTATAACATAAAAGGACATATATGATACACTAATTTAGGATTGAATTTATCACTAACAATAAAGGTTGTCAAACCGCCGGTCAACCCGGACGAGCTAGTGGGTCATGGGTCAATGGGTCACCCATTTTAGCCCGGATTATCCCGAAAATATGAAAAGAGCCAATATATTCTATTTATCCTAAATCCAACATAGAAAAAATGCAACACTACTTAAACTCCAATACGACAATACCCTTAAATAACATCAACTTAAATTCACCCATTGTCATCCCTAGACATATACAAGAAACAAATGGTTTGAGTAGTACTGACATTTAGTCTGGTTCGGCCGGTTCATGTAGTTTTTTTGCTTCATTTTTAGAAGCAGACTGAATATTGAATCGAAAAAGTTAGTGGTTTGAAGTTTAATAATTAACCATAACAGATCGTTGGTTAACCATTGATAGAACCATTCATGCACTATAACATAAAAAGACATATATGATACACTAATTTAGTATTGAATTTATCACTAACAATAAAGGTTGTCAAACCGCGGGTCAACCCGGACGAGCTAGTGGGTCATGGGTCAATGGGTCACCCATTTTAGCCCGGATTATCCCGGAAATATGAAAAGAACCAATATATTCTATTTATCCTGAATCCAACATAGAAAAAATGCAACACTACTTAAACTCCAATACGGCAATACACTTAAATAACATCAACTAAAATTCAACATAGTTAAAATTCAACAACACTTAAATCCATCACATAACATCAACTTAAATCCATCATAGCTCAAAATTCAAGAACACTTAAATCCATCACATAACATCAACTTAGAATTTCAAATAACAAAAGAAAAGTACTCAACCTTCAAAGATAAAGCTATCCATCTCCATCTCCAATTCACAACAATATGAGAAATGTCGAGGCCGACCTGCGAAGATGATTCTCTCCGCTGGCTACCCGTAGCGCGCCGCCGAAGAACCCTGGTGATGGCGATCGGCTGCAGGTAGGGATGGCAATGAGGCGGGTTTGCCTAAACCATCCCCATCCCCATTACCAAATACCCATACCCATACCCATACCCGCCCCATACCCATGCAGATGGAGGTTTTGCATACCCATCCCCATACCCATGGGTTTCGGATACCCATGGGTAATACCCGGCCCGTATAAGCAATATTATTTTATCTAAATTTCGACATGTATGTCTCCAATTATTACAAAAAAAATTCATAATAAATAGCGGAAATCAATATAGTTATAGTATTTCTTAATAGGAAAAAGCATTCAATCCAAAAATATTGATTAATCAATAAAATAAAATGAAAATATAATACTATATCAAATCATTCATCTTCGAATCTAACATATCTATATAGTAAATAGCTAACATAAACTTGTCAACTAGACAAAAACCTCTTTTGCTTCTAAGAGATCAAAGTCTACTAGACTACCAATTATTCAAACACACTAAGGTACATCAATATGCATCAAAATAATTCAAATGTAGAAAATGATATCCAATGACCTATTACTATTTCATTAAGAATTTTGTTTAGGTGGTCATCTCCAAGATAATTAAAGAGTCAGGAGAGGAAAGGCGACGACATTGAGAAATTAAGAAAGTAAATTGTAGTCGGCTGAGATGGTTGAAAATTTCAAGGATTTTGATAAATATAATTACATTTTAATCATATTTTCTTATTTATTTACCTTCATGCTAATAATAATTTATAAAAATATATTTATAGTTTTTTTACGTATAGCAACCTACCTTGATGGGGCGGGTTTGTGTATGGTTATGGGGCGGGGGACGCTAATACCATACCCGCCCTACACCTATCAAGTTCTTTGCGGGTTTTACCCATACCCGCCCCATACCCGGTCAATGCAGGGATTCCCCGCATTGACTGGGTCGGAGGTGGACGGATACCCGCAGTGATGGGTTTGATTGCCATCCCTACCTGCGGGAGCGAGACGGCTGCGCTGCGGGAGCGAGACGGCTGCGCTGCGGGAAATGGAATGAGTCTAGGCCTAGGGTTTCGATTTCCATTTTCCAGACTCTCCTTCTAGCCTTGTCCCAGCAGGCCAGCACCAGCAGAACGGCGCCGCTTCCCCGTCTCGTTTTCTCCCCGCAAAAACGGCGCCGCAGCGGCTAGGGCTGGGAAACGGTGCGGTCTGGTCCAGACCAGACCATATATACGGTCTACGGTCCAGACCGAGAGGCTAAAGTATATACCACAGACCAGACCACAGACTATACGGTCTGGTCCAGACCACGCCTGTGCGGTCTGGTTCGGTCTGGTCTGGTCCAGATAGACCACACTCAACGAAAAATGAATAATTTGTTTAGTCAATCACACAAAAAATTGAACCAATAACCAAGAAAAATAATTGTTATTTGCCTTAAAACATTATTCCTAATATGCATGAATAATTTTGATACTCTAAATCTTAGTACATAACAAAGATACAAAGTAAAAGCATCCCAGCTTGCACCATAATGTCATAAACATTAACATAATGTCATATGGAGACACGATTATCTCTACTCTGTGGTTAAATGTGGTTGTGAATGAAGGAGGGAAGAGATTCACAAAATTAAGGTTGAGACTTGGGTGTGGTTGTGGGAGTTTGGAGAGTGGTCGAATGAGCTGTTAACACGTATTGACAAGTCAGTTGGATCAACGGTTTGGTCCGGTAAACCGCGGTCTAGACCAGACCAGACCAAGAGATCAAATCATAAAATAATACAGACCATGGACCAGACCAGACCATACTTCATGGTCTACGGTCCGGACCAAACTGTGCGGTACGGTTTGGACCACGATTTTTCTAACGGTCTGGTCTATTTTTCCAGCCCTAGCAGCGGCCAAAGCAGGGCTCAGGAAGAGCAACCCGCTGACCCGTTCCAACGGGCTAACCATCCGGGCCAACTCGGGTTTGACCAGGTTTCTCCGTGTTTGACCATTCCCGGGCTGACAGCAAAAAGAGTTAATATGACCCGTTTTTTTAGCCGGGTCCGAGTTAATCCGGGTTGACAACCTTGCTAACAATAAACAATCAAGTTGGAGGTTGAATGTGTGAAGGGAAGTCATGGATTTTTTTGGAGTTCTTAGTAGTCTCTGTTGGCTTTGTAATGGGATCTAGTAAGTTTTAAGATATAATCCTTATGGACACTTGCCTAACTAGCAAGGTTAGTTGCTAGTAAAGAACTGCTTATGTAAATGGTTGGGCATCAGTTGAATTCAAAATTGGATCGAACCAAAAGTGAAGGAAAAAACGAGGATAAGAACCCAATCAAAAGCATATATGGTTTGGTTTGATTCGATCCGATCCATATTTAATTTTGATTTTATTTTCCTTCATACTCGAGCCAATTCACGAGAACAAACCCAGATTCAAATATATATTCGATTCACTCCGAACATCAGTTCAAGTGGCGTGAAAGCAGACATCCCCTATCTATTTACATGGAGAGAGACCATTACCCACACCAAACACCATATATAATATAGGGCAAGAACACATGAGGACCTCTCATAATGAAGATATATTACATTACATCCTACTAAAAGGAACTAGCTAGCAACAAGTAGATGAGAAAACTTGCATATAAATTTCAAATATGGGGACCTCTCTGATTTGAAAACGAGGGATAACATCCTTCTTCACCCTATTGATTTGTTTACTATTTCAGTGTCTAGGTGGGGTTTTCCTTTGGAGTAGTCTATTATTTTTTCCAGCAAGTGCAAGAAGTTTGGTTTTGGAATGGTTGAGTAATTGAATTAAATTTTGAATAGATTAGAATTGAAGACAGAGTTCATGCATAATTAGCACAAGATGTGTTCATCCTGCATCTAAAGCACCCTGGCTTTCAGTGCCACGTCAGCCCCAAAAGCCCCTTGCATGGAAATGCATGTCGACATTCTCACCTCATTCTCTTCTCCTCCCCTCCCTTTCCGCCTTACCTATCATATGGGGAAAAAAAATTAAACTAAAAAAATAATTTACTCACTTTTCACTTTCTCTGCCTCCTTCTCTAACTCTCACTGTCACACTCACACAGACAACAGTCCAAAAGCCGCCTCTCCTCCTTCCCAATTCCAGACCCATTTATAAACCCTGCTCTGCCCCGACTCTGTTTCCGAACCCTCCTCTGCATTTTCAATCTCTCTTCCATGGCGACTAATTTTCCCAATTTCACTCTCCTCCTCCTCCTCCTCTTCTTAACACCCCTTATCTTCCAATTCCCACACCTCGTCTCCTCAGAATGCACCTGCGATCGAGGCACCAGCCGCGGTGGCGACGGCCACCGGGACGGGAACAAGCCGATCCTCTACAAAATTGTGGCGATTTGCTCCATTCTCGCGGCGAGCGGGATCGGCGTGACGATCCCGATCGCCGGAAGAAAGTTCCCCGCTCTGCACCCGGAGAACAATCTCTTCTTCCTCATCAAGGCCTTTGCGGCCGGGGTGATTCTCGCGACCGGATTCGTCCATATTCTCCCCGACGCCTTCGCGAGCCTTTCGAGCCCCTGCGTGAAGGAGAACCCATGGGCGAGGTTCCCGTTCCCCGGGCTGTTCGCCATGGTGGCGGCGGTGATGACGATGATGATCGATACGTTCGCGACGAGCTATTACAAGCGGTCTCATTTCAGCAATACGAACAAGGCGCTGCCGGTGGCTGGGAGTGGGAATGACAGCAGTGGGGAATTGGATTTGGAAGGGATAGCGGCGGAACATGAAGGGCATGTTCATGTTCACACCCACGCGACTCATGGACACGCGCATGGCTCTGCTTTTGGGCCGGAGGATTCCGAGGAGTCACATCATTTCCGCCACCGGATTGTTTCTCAGGTGACTCACTAATGTTCCTAAATATAATCCCTGCCCTTTTAGCCCGGCCTAATTGAAACTAAATTGGATGTGATTTCGGTCCGGTCCGGTTTATGGTTCGAACTCGATCGGATGCACTCTGTTTTCCCCCGGTCGAGCCGCGAAAAGTATTCGGTCTGTAGGTCCGGTTAGTTAATTAGTTACCATTTTACTACCGTTTTTTGTCCAAATGTTCAAAAGTTGTTCTTCCATTATTTATGGACTGTCGCGTTTACATGCCGTTTTGTACAAAACGAATTCAATAAGATTGGTGAAATAACGTATTTATAAATTTTGAGAAATTCATTAAGAAATGAAACATTTTCATTATCATTATCAAAAGAATTCATTTTCAATTTTGAATTTTGAATTCTATGGATTTAGAAGTAGTTATAGCAATTTTGAGCAATTGAGATGGAATTTTCAGATTTTCAAATGAATTTCAGAAGTATTTACTAATTATAATAGAATGATATAATTATTCGTTTTCTTAATTAAATTACTTATACATATGATATACCAAACACAAGAATTCATTTGACAATGAATTCAACATGGCTATTCATTTTATTTCTAAAGATTTGAATATGACATACCAAACACAAGATTTCATTTGAAAATAAATTTTACTTTGTAATTCATTTTACAATAAAATGAATTCTCGTTTTATTTGGTACTGGTACCAAACGGTCTGTTAGTATTTTTTTTTAATCCAATGCTATTTTGGAACAAGATTACAATTGTAGGGGTAAAGGATACCGAATTATTTGGTCGTGTTTGGGCCACTCTGAAATCTGAATCCAATCAATTGGTCAAATTCGAGCAGTATAAGGAATAAAAACAAAAGGGTATTATTAACCCCATGAACATGCATCAAGATTCCCATGCGATATTATTGTTGTTCTATTGAATTATTTTGGGCGGCTGATTTTGATTAGGAATATCAAATGTCTATATATGTACGTATTTCCAAAAAGCTTTGACTTCTATGCACTGTTAAAATTGTCTTTTTTCTTGATTTAAAGCAAAAACACTGTTTTTTTTTTAGAATTGGTTCCCTTTTCAAAACGATTCTAAGCACATAAAAGCGGATCCCACTTGCAAAATCTAGCGCATCGGCAGTAGTCTTCGGTATTGTCACACCACCTATCACAATAACGAACTTTAATAGAAAATACAAAAAATTGCACTCTTTTTCAGGATAAATACATTTTCGTCACAGTTAGAGTGATATTCGGTTATCTGCTACTCGATCAACCGGACGTGACTAATAGGGGTGATATTCGGTTATCTGCTACTCGATCAACCGGACGAACCTATTGGTTCTTCAACTAACCGAAAACCGACAAAAAAAGACTTTGGTCTTTGTTTCAGTTACTAACCGATAAATGATCGGTGCCCGAGATCTAACCGAGCAGCTAAAATTATCACCCAACCCCATCCAAATCGCAACTCTATTTCCGTCACGACGACGACGTTTTGGGCAATGCAGGTTCTGGAGATCGGGATAGTGGTTCACTCGGTTATAATCGGAGTATCGTTAGGCGCGTCAGGGAGCACGAGGACGATCAAGCCACTGGTGGCCGCACTCACTTTCCACCAATTCTTTGAAGGGCTCGGCCTCGGTGGATGCATCTCACAGGTAAATCAAACATTCAAACCCATCACCACCTCCCATGTCGAACACGATTCTCTCTCCACAACCTTACCTTCATTCATTTCAATATTAATGTTGACGATGCTCTGAACCATCGATCTGCGTCGTTCCTTTATTAAATCAAATCAAATCTTTGGAAAAGTGCAGGCAAAGTTCAAGTTCCGAGTGGCGGCAACAATGATGCTCTTCTTCTCGTTGACGACTCCGATTGGGATAGTGGTGGGAATCTGCATATCGAGAGGATACAGCGAGGACAGCCAGGCCGCGCTTCTGGTCAGCGGGATCTTGAACTCGGCTTCCGCCGGGATATTGATATACATGGCACTAGTGGATTTGCTGGCACAGGATTTCATGAACCCCAAGCTGCAGGGGAACCTGCGGTTGCAGCTTGGAGCTAACGTTTCTCTCCTCTTGGGGATGGGCTGCATGTCGTCCTTGGCGCGATTGGCCTGACCACCGCCATTGCTGTTTCGCCATCATCGATCAGTAGCTTTGTCGATAAAAAACAACGAGACTGTAGAGTTGTGAAAATGGTTATGGTGCACGTTTCCCCTGTTGTTGTATTCTGTAAAACTGTTCTATAGGTTTGGTATGGAAAATAGAAAGAGCAAAGAGGAATTCCCGTCACCTGAGATTCATGAACACAAACCAATGCCATAAATTACGCTAACCTAATCTTCGTACCAATGTTTTATCTCGGACAAAAGAGGCTAAAAGGGTACACGCTGCTGAATCTTCAGGAAGGACGAATACTCCTCTGCCTCAGCTTTTGTGAGAGCTGGTGCTAAGGAACTCAACGCCTTCTGAAAGTGACGATTGCAGACAACAGCAGCGGATATATCTTCGCGAAGAGCTACCATCCCAGCTTCTCGACATAGACCCTCTAGTTCAGCACCCGTGAAGAGCTCGGTGTTCTCTGCTATGTTTTTGAGGTCGACATCATCGTCGAGGCTGATGTTTCGTGTAAGAACGTTGAGGATCTCGAGTCGACCCTCCTTATCAGATGGTGGTACATACAAGACCTAGTCACGGAACACAGAGAAGGCCCTAATTTTTACACTCAATTTATGAAAATGGAGGATCAGCAAATCAAGTCATGTTGTTGAGACACGTACCAGATCAAAGCGTCCAGGGCGCATCAGTGCAGCATCTATTGCATGTGGACGATTGGTAGCCGCCAATACAAGGACGCCCTGATAGCATAATAAAACGAGTAGATTGGAGTGACGGAGAACATATGGTAACATCAGGCTTCCATTCCATGTCCTTAGCATGGTAAAGTCGAAGCGTTAATGTCATTATGACTTACTTTTATTTCTTGCAGACCGTCCATTTCAGTCAGTAGGGTCGATAGAAGCCTCTCCCCTGCAGCGGATGAGTTGCTTGAACTGTCACCTCTGGAATAATTTGTCCAGAAAAGATAAAAGTCAACCATACTACACTGACATAATTTCACTCATGGTAACTTCGGAGACCACTGTGATGGGATTGGACCTCTACCAAAACTGAAAATGTGCATACCGTTTACCAGCCAGAACGTCGATTTCATCGAAGAAGATTATGCTGGGAGCTGCCACACGAGCTCTTTGGAATGTGTTGCGCAACAATGCTTCACCCTCTCCAACATACTTGTTAAAACAATCTGCAGAACTGAGTACAAAGTTGTGTAACTTCAGAAATTGAGTTCTGCGGAACTGAGACAACTTCAATTGGAGACTTGGAGACGCTCTTACGTCAAGGAGAAAAAAGAAGCTTGAGCAGCATTAGCTACAGCTTTAGAAATAGTGGTTTTGGAAACACCAGGAGGTCCATGCAAAAGAATCCCACGTATGGGAGAGATTCCCATTCTTCTAAGTGCAGACTGGTGCTTGATCGGCCACTCAACAGCTTGCTTAAGTCTTTTCTGAAAAATACAATGGCCATTTGTAGACATCAGAAAGATTTCAACATGTACCTCGACTCGATCGATGCATCCAGCTTTTTCATAACATTTTGAGATATTATGTCTTTGCAAGTTCAGATAATTCCGAAAGCAACAGAGTGACCTTCAAATCCTTTAGTCCACCAATATCATCCCAGGACACATCTGGAACTTCGACTGTCACACCTCTTGTTAAGCTAGGACCAACAATGGACCTCGCTTTTCGCCAGTCTTCTGCCGTTAAGCAAAGAACCCCACCATCTCCACTTGCTTTGGCCGACTTAATAGCTGACATGGCAGCTTCACGGCACAATGCTTCCAAGTCAGCCCCAACGAATCCATTACAAGAAGCAGCAACAGCTTGCAAATCAACGTCATCATCCAAAACTAGCTTCCTTGTGTAGAGCTGGTCACAAGAGGGGAGAAAAATAATGAACTGTCTTTGCCACATGTCACTACTCATTGCATGTGCAACTGTGGTTTACAATGAGTAGCAGGAAACCATGAATGTGATAAAGTTCCACTAGACAATGCATTTCTATTTCATACCTTGAGGATTTCTAAGCGTTCCTCTCCTGTAGGAGCCGTAACTTCTACTTCACTATTGAAACGTTCATATCTTCTGAGTGCAGGGTCCAATGCATCAACTCTTTTTAGCAAAAGCAAACAACAGATTGGACTCAGATTTCAACAATGAGATACAGAACTCGGGTTGCTTTGTTCTTGATCGATTTATTTGATAGCAACTATCAACATGCAACAAGCTAGTAACCTGTTAGTGCATGCAACCACGACCACATGCCCTGAAGAGGTAGAAGAGGGCTTGATGGCATCCATTAGCGTGCAGAGTTGAGAGATTAAACGAATATCTTGCTCTCTCCTGCAATTAACGCTCACTTGAATAACCACACAAAGAGAAGTACCATTTTGCAATAAATCATATACAAAATCATAATTGATTTTGCCAAGCAAGCTTATGCTCCAGCAAAATCTTTCATGGTGAATATGACGAACATTCAGACCTTAGGCTATAACTGTAACTGATATTCTTGCAAGCTACAAGAAATCGGTAAAGGTGCTGCTAATAACAGCTCTGAGAATAAGGGATAAGGTTAACTAAGAACATATATAGTGCAGAGCTAAGCACATGGATTTCCTCACCAAGAACACACCTTCTGCTGAACTACCTGATTCAGACCATAACTGGATCCTCCCGGAAAATACTTTAGAAGCACAATAGTTAAGAAAGGACAGAACTTCGGATGCAGAATCATGTCAATAAGGACTGTGAAAAGAGTAAAAAACTGAGAGATGAAACTTCATGTAGCATCATCCTTTCTTATCTTACCCAGAATCACGACGAGGGCAGATCGCATCGATTTCGTCTATAAACACGACTGACTGCTTGCCTGCTCCCAAATGTGAGGATGCATCTGCAAAAGCCTCTCTCAGAATCCTCTCACTTTCCCCGGCATGTGGTCTGCGAACAGAATATGGACTACAGAACGAACGCACCAAAAGAGTGTAGCCTCAGAACTATAATATCCATCAATCAGAGCAATGTGACAGAAGGGTAAACAAATAGTACCTAATTACAACCAGATGGGCACCAGATTCCTGAATCACTGCACGAACAAGACTCGTCTAGTAGCATTTGATAGCAAACAAGAGAGAATGCACAATTAGAGGTTCCCATAATATGGTGCAAAATTACAGACATTTAGCAGAAGAAGGCTACCTTTCCAGTTCCAGGAGGACCGTACAGAAGCAGCCCCGTCGGCCACTGTTCATCCAAAATCATGATTAATCAGCTGGAATTGTAAACAAGCAAAGAAGCACATAATAATAAAGACTGGAAATTTTCTTGGTTTACCTTAAGGCCCAGCTTTCGGGCTTCACGAGAGTAGAGCAAAGGAAACACAATGAGCTCTCTGAGAGCTTCCAATGCAGATAGATTCCCAGCTATTGCGTCTTCCGCTCTCCATCGCTGCTTCTTTTCGAATTCGGAGGCGTCAGAATTACTGTTGCTGCTGCTGCTTTCAGCTTCCATGGAAAACTGAACTTCGCCTTCTGCGTAGACGAATGGCCTGCACGACCTTGGGCGGCGGTGAGAGAAGTTGGTTTCGAACTTTCAAAGACGGTTGTTCCCTTCTCTCAGGCGCCGGCGGCCGGAGGGCAATATCTAAAGAATATATAAGGGAAGGCTCTCTTGGAGAAAGCTTTATCCGCAAGTTTCGCTTCAATTTTGCTATTTATTCGGTTATTTTTTAAAATATTTAATAGGACGTCGCAAATATGTGCCGTGACATTGTGGATTTTATGTCCACCTCACTTTAGGGTTAACGACGTAAATAAGATTTCTGATGGTATTAGACTATTCTTAAAAACAAAATTGTTATATTTATTGGAAAATCATTATAGATAAATTTGATTATTATATCTGTTGTAATTTGTAAAGGTTAAAGGTTTACTATAGGAATGTATTTTACATTTTTATTTGGGTGTTTATTTTAAGAACTGAAATGTGATTATGATGGATTGTTAATTCATACACGGTGGAAGGGATCGGTTAGCACACTAACCCTTCTAAGGATTTGAAAAAATAATACCCCTATTAATTATAGTTATTTTTGTATTAAATTCGTGTTACATTTAATAATCTTTGAAAATTAAAAACTCATCTTAATTACATTCCTTTTTTTAACTACCATTGTACTGATACAACTACCATTGCACCTGTATACTGAACTCATATTAATTACGTTCCTTTTTTGGAACTACCATTGCACTGATACATCTACCATTGCACATGTACATAGGGATGACAATTAAACCCATGACCGCGGGTATCCGACCGCCCTCGACCCAGTCAATGCGGGAAATCCCCGCATTGACCAGGTATGGGGCGGGTATGGGTAAAACCCGAAAACAGTTTGATGGGTATGGGGCGGGTATGGTATTAGCCTCCCCGCCTCACCAAGAACATTTCTTCACATATAAAAAGTATATTGATTAAATTGTAATCTATCATTAATAGCGAGAGTAACTCATGAAAATAAATAGTAGAAATACAATTGAGTGACCACCCAAATCAAAACATAATTCATTTCCTCCAAATCTTCCTTCATTCTTTGACTTTTTTCCTCATGTTAACAACATTATATTAGTAATTTATTACTTAATAGATTTACCAAAGTAAGAGAATAGTGATTTTGCTTATATTGTTACTCTATCTTATGGATTATTCGATGTTTTAGAATAAGATGCTTAGAATCGTATTAAGAATGATTGTATCTTTGTCGATTATATGAAATAGTAGGTGCATTTAGTATTATAATTGAAATTTTTGTATGTAAAATTTTAGCTATTATAATGTTGATGTACGGGGCTGGTATTACCCATAGGTACCCGAAACCCACTGGTATGGGGATGAGTTTGCAAATCCTTCCCCCGCATGGGTATGTGGCGGGTATGGGTTTGGATATTTGAAAGCGGGGATGGGGATGGTTTAGGCCCCGCGCCATTGCCATCGCTACCTGTACATTAATATCATTGAACTGATACAAATACCAGTGCACTGAAAAAATAAAAGTAATTAATATGTGTTTTTAATTCATACAGATTATTAAATGCAACACGAATTAATTACCTTAAAAAACTATAATTAATAGGGGTGTCATTTTTCCAACTCTTTTAGGAGTAGGCATACTATCTCATCCCACAGTGAAATCATAGTCTACCAATCAACATCTAGTTTGATCAATTTCATCACCTATTACCAAAAAAAACTAACTTCCATTTTTATCGTGCAATTTCAACATTTACATTTCATCTAAAAAACATCTTTCAGACAATAAAATGTTATCATTCTACTCCTATGATTTTCCTATCACTACATAAAACTCTGAGTATATTACAAAAATGGTTTACATGAGTTTTACGCTCACAATTAAACGTAAAGAAAATTATCATATCCCCCCTACTCACACAAAAAAAAATGCAAGAAGGGCGACCATTCCATCCAATTCCAGTTATGTTCCTATTCAATCTGCATAATCAATAATCAGCCTGCCCACTCAGAAATTACTATTACTATATTATATTATATATATTAAGAAGAGTTATTCGCACAAACACCCTATCACTGTAGCCCCAGACTCATATGATTGTTCACCTAGGCACATTCTACTATTCATTCAAAGCTGATTGGCTGCGCTGGCGGGATGGGTCCGGGAGTGCTTCAGCTCGCTGCGTGGACCCCTCGTGTCATCGTTTCCTTTCTGTTCTGCCCACTCCGTTGTTCTCTCTGCTGCTCGGCCTGCATTCTTTGGGAGATCGCGTCGGCCTCAAGTGTCTGACAACTTTTACTTTGAGATGATCGCTCCTTTTCTTGCTTTTGGGCCGTCCACTTCTCTGAGGGAAAGGAAGGAGCAAGAGAGAGACATCTCTCTCTTTTGTTCAATCTCCTTCACTCCCTCTCCCTTCTCTCTACCTCCTTCTCCTTCTCCTTCTCCTTCTCCTTCTCCAACTCCCTTCTCTCTACTCTACCTCATCTCTTCCTCTCTCTCTCTCTCTCTCTCTCTCTCTCTCTCTCTCTCTCATCTCGGAGCAGAGGTAGGGAATCGCCGACCAGGGAATCGTCCGATGACCAGCAGCGAAGACAGTCTCTCAGCGGCGAAGAGAAGATTGGAGCGGTCACTGCCGGTTGTGAGGATCCCTCTCCGACGAAGCGGAGATCCGAAGATGGTGTGCGGCACTGTGCCAGGATCCCTTCTCCCTGCCTCCTTGACGATTCTGGGATTTCAGGTGAGCTTCTGAATCTCCCTTCTCGCTTTCTTTTCCTTTTCGTTCCTTCCTGCGTCCACTGGGATTAGAGAGGAAATCATAACAACTGGTTTTATTCCATTTTATTTCTCTCCTCACTTTCAGATTCTTTACATGGTGAGCGTCTGACAGGCAACTGCAAGCCGAAGTCGGTGAGCTCTAAATCTTCGAAAAAAATTGTTTTCTTCTCTCTTTATGCATCGATAGTGGACTCAGTCATTTTATGCCATTTTGTTTTGTCAGGTTCCTGGAGATTGATGCTACTATTGTTCATAATGGGTCGATCTTGAGAGATTGAGGGTGGTTTCGGTAAAGAAGCAGGTCCACAGATTTGTGTTTTTGGTTTGAGGTGATCATTCTCTGCTTTGTGGATTCGTCCGATGACCCGCGATTATGATAGTCTCTCTCTCCCTTTTTCGGAAATCAGTAGCTTGGAGCGGTCACCGGAGAAGGTGAACTTGATCGGTCGAGAGAGGAATCGGAGGAGACCCAAGTCGTACGGTGGCAGCGAAGACGTTCAAGACGAGATCCACAGATTCACTTTTTTGGTTTAAGGTGATATTCTCCCTTCCTCGCTCTCTCTCCCCTGACCAGTTGAGAGGAACCCAGATCCGCATTTTTTGCTTTGGTTTAGGATGATTCATCACTCTCATAAGTTTGTTTTCTCTGTTTTCTCAGAGAGTTCCAGATTAAGTTTTGGAAGGGATTTATGCGGCAGGGGTGGTGCCGATGTCGATTCTCAACCCGAGCATACTGAAGAAATCAAGGTCTTGCAGGGGATTGACGGGATGGGGATCGCCAAGAACCTGTCGGTGGGATAGTAGATCCTGTGTGGCTAGCAGGCAGATCCTTCTTTCTTCTCCTTTCCTAACCTTTTGATCTCTCCCCGCGAGAAATGGATTCAGCCAGCAAAGTGAGGAGATCCATGGAGGCTGCATAATAGCTGATTGTTCCCTCTCTTTCTGGTGTGTTTTTTTCTCTTACTTGCTCACAAGGATTTTCTTTCATCTCTTCTTGCAGGTCTATTCATTGATTTTTTTGATGAAAAGGAAGTTTTGCGGCTCTGTATCAGTTCCGGTTCACCCTTCGGCTATGTAGTCCTTTCGTAAGCCTTTCTCAAACTCACTGTTTTTTGTTTCCCTTGTCTTTTCCAATTTCCACTCTCTGCCTAGAGCGAATTGTCCATTTTTTTAGAGGTCGGGAAACGATTCGGAGGAGATTCAAACCTTCGAGTTTCTATTTTCTTAGTCTTTGATGAGTATCCTAAGATGAGTTCGTTCTCTTTACATTCTCTCTTGTTGGCAATAATCTAGCCGTCAGAGGCAAACATCAAATTCCCGCGGAAAGCCAGTGAGACCGGGTGATTTCCTGGATGGGAACACGAATTCTGTTGCGACCCATTACCACGTTGGTTTGCTGTGGCGCAATGTTCTTGGGCAGATTCGATATTATTTTTGGATTTGAGTTTCCGTTACAGATCAGTAAAACATTAAGCTTGGCCAATGAGAGGAGAGAAAGTAGAGATCCGAAGTTTATCAGTTTATTCCTCTTTGCAGATTTGAAGGGTGTCTTTCAACCTCAACGAGGACAAAGGAATTGTGGTACACATAGGATTTGCAAGTTCCCATTGTTATTGAGGATTCGGAGGAGATTCACTTTCATAAATGGATCTGGCAAGGAGACGGTTGGTGTCATAGGTTTGTTTTCTTCCATTCGATTCTGCTGTCCTTTTCTTTCTCACCTCTTCCGTCTCGGTTGATTAATCCTTTCTCTCCACTACTGTAGCTGGCAGCAGTTGATCAGTCTTTTTGTTTTATTGTTGGTGGAACTCTTTGTGGGTCTCGAAGCTTTGCTTTCTACAAAATTGACTGGAACTCACAATCTGGTTGCTTTCACTTATTCACGATGACCAATGTAAGAAGGCTTTGCACTAGCTTATGATTAACATATTTTGTGTGCTTTCTCCACAAACCATACTTTGTTTACAAATATGAAATCTGATTTGCGTTTGTTCCAGGTGATTGAGCGGATTATTCTAAAATCTCTAGCAACTGCCGTCGTCTGGACGAACCTTCACCACGGTGAGCTACATCTTATTTTGGTTATGTGATTCCTTTCTTCCCTCAATTGTTCTATGGACATATGATTCAAGCTAATGGTGTTTGTAATGACGAAAACATAACTGGCTCGATTACTGGAGAGGCATTTTAATGTGATCAATGTTGTTGCCAAGCACTGGATGCACAACTAGCTTAACAACCCTTTTTAATGGTTTCCCGGTTTCCCCTCTCCTTCGTTTCAATTTTTTTTTTTTGTTTTTAGACCTGTGCAGTGATTTGATTATTTTTATTGGTTCACCCATTTGTCAGGCTCAAAAGCTGTTGTCTTGGAGGAAGTGACTGCATTTGTTTCTTTTGACTGTTTATAGGGCATTGCTTGACTTTTTATGGAACAGGGGATGATCGTAAAGAGTTGTATAGACTTCTTTCTTTGAAAAGGGGGCTAAGATTGGTAATAACGTAACAATATTGATGTTCTATTATATCATGAATTGGTGAAGACCTTTGACTCACTTTGCTGTGTGGGTGAGAGGTAGTCGCAGATTTGTAGCAAGCTAGATGATGGAACTGATGGCATATGTTGCTATTCGTTATGGTCTTCTTTAATTGGTTATAGCAATTTGTCAACAAATGTTAGTAAAAATGCTGTTAAAGAGAAGTTAACACTACTTTCTGTCTGTTTGTTTGCTGCACCAATCTCAAAAGGATCTAAAAATCATGTTTTTTTCCAGTTTTAAGCTATAATAGTAGTCCAAGGCATCATCTAATTCTCACCCATTGTTTTTCAGTTATCTACAAAGGGAATGGATAGCTACCCAAAGGATGAGAGGAATTTTACTAATTCTGGGCAATAGACGTTTCAACTGAAGTTTGGATAGTTAGGTCGCCTTTCTGTGGATCAAACAAATATGACTTTTGGATATAGTTATATTGCAATCTTGAACAATGTTAGTGTAAGAATCTATTCATAGGAAAACTCTACACTACAAAACTAAATACTTAATGAACCATCTGATTCCAAAACTAAATCATATCCCGCAGGGAAGCGCGGGCTCATTCCTAGTTAATTAATTAAAAGTATAATAGCTCAAAACACCAATTCCTATTCACCCAGACTGCTTTCACTGCTCATTTAGACTCAAAATTACTATTCACTAGTTTATGTTAAAAGTATAATAGCTCAAAACACCAATTCCTATTCATTCAGACTGCTTTCACTGCTCATTTAGACTCAAAATTACTATTCACGGGTTTATGAATGGCTATTGGCCTGAGGTGGGCCTGGAGTTCTCTGTGGAGTCTTTTCCTTCATTCTGTGCCGACATAAGCTGCCTCTATTCCATTATGTGCTGACGTTTTCTGCAGCCTTTTCGAAAAAAACATAAATTTTTTCTTCTCTGGTTGGGAGAACAATCGCGTTGGTCACCAGTGGACTGGATGGACCAGTTAAAGTACAAAGGAGTCTTGAGAGGAGAGGAACCCTTTTTTGTTACCTGAAAATTACTGTACGGTTCTCTTTGAACTGCAGCGTGGGTCCGCTGTTGGCTTCATTTAGTTTGCTCAGCGTTGGGTCCCCGAGACCCAAATGACAAAGCGATGGAGATTGGATGGCTTTTTAAGTATGGGGAGGGAATACGAAAGGATTGGGGGATACCGAGAGAGAAAACAACAGGCTAGATATTTTTGCGGGTTGTTTGGTGGATTGAAGTTCCACGTAGCTTTTTTATTTTGGGCAATTTATTTTACCTAATCCGGCGCAATCCTCTATGTCAATGGCTCTTTTTCTCCTCTCCTTCCCTCTCCACAGAGACCAATTCGACAAAACCCTTTTTCATATCATCATCTTCTTCTCTCTCCCTCCCTTCCCTCAAGACCGTCCGCACATCCAGACACAGCCGCACTGATTGGCGTCCCCCGGCGACGTTGTATCTCACGTATCCAGACTCTTACAGGTATTTCTATCTTTCTTTTCGCAGGTTTGATATGAACACTGTTATGGTTCTATTTTTTTCGTACTGATTCATCGAGAAAGCTTCGTACTGTCGTTCGAGGACCTGACAAATTTATATAACTTTTTTTCCAGGTCGAGACTCGATTGGGATCCAGATCCGCAGGTGCTCTTCTCTCCGACTTTGATGAGTTCTTTTACTCTCTTTTGTAAAATGAGTTTGTTCTCTCTTTCTTACTCTAATGGGTTTGGTTTATTGCTTTTTACAGGAGATCCCAACAATGAGTTCTCTACCAGAGGTGTCTTCTGAATACCAACGATATGCCAGTAGGACCTGGTGATTGCCTGGGTGGGAACCCGCGCACTACTGCGGTGTTTTTTATGGTGGTTCGTGCAACAATCTCTGCTAAATTCGGATTTTCCCCGTGTGATTTGAGGTTTTCGGTTGCAGATCAGAAAACGCATATGATTAGCTAAAGAGAGGAGATATAGAGCAGGAGATTATATCCATTTCTTCCTCTCTGCTTCGTATCCTTCTACTTTTCTCTTCCATTCACTAATCTTTCTTTATAGATTGTATACTCTGTTTTTCCTCCCTTTTTTTCTGCCATGGCCTAAAGTTTTAAGTCACTTTTTTCCAGTTTGTAAGGTTCTGGGAGGGTTTGGAGGTGAGCTGGGTTCGCACTTGGACCCCAAAAAAAGATGAGATTTTGTGTTCTTTCACATATGATCAGCCCCCTCTACCAAAATAAGAATCTCTGATCCTTATTTGAGATTTCTCGTTAGCTCACTTATTTGGGTTCACATAATTACCCAACCATATTCTGTATCAACTTACCTTGGAATCCTACTGCTAGAAGGATTGCAGACTGAAGAAGAGGCAGAAGACGAAGATGCAAAACGGAGTCGTTTGTATTTTGTTTAAGTTTATTAACAGTGAAACTGTGTCGTTTTGTTAAAGGCTTGTTAGCCGTTATTAGTCGTTACTAAACAGTACTTTGGTTTGTAATAGGCTAATCGTTGGTTGCCAAGTGGCAATCTGAACTAAGCTGTTTTTTACAGCTCATATATATGCTGCAAACAGAGCAGCCATGCAGCTTTGAGGGTTTTGCTTTACCCTAGCAAATTTTCTCCATATGGTATCAGAGCGGCGACGCATCTAGGGTTACAATGGCGAACACACCACCGCAGTCAAGCCATGGAAAGGAAGCTGCAACTGGATCAGCAGCCTCAGGAGCAACAATGTCTGGTGTTCGAGGTTTCCAGTTTGGTACTTACACTGAGACGTAGCAGCATGAGCAGCAGCAACAAAACACTATCAGATCTGAGGTGATAACCTTTGGTAACCCCTTTTACTTGAACCCTAATGAAGCACTGAATCATTCTATAGGTTCAGAGGTGTTTGATGGGACGAATTAAATTATGTGGAGTAGATCTGTCATAATGGGTTTGAAGATGAAACATAAAATGGGCTTTATCGATGGAAGCATTCTAATGCCTCCAATGAATGATGATACATTTCTGCTATGGGATGGATGTAACACAGCTGTGTTGTCATGGATTTTGAATTCCTTGCACAACGATCTCCGACGTTCTGTGATGAATCATGTTAGTGCTAAGGTACTGTGGGATGAGTTGAAAAGAAGGTATGGTAAACCCAATGCCATACGAATCACAAATCTGGAGGATGATATCCACAAGTGCAAGCAAGGGAATCGCACTATCAACCAGTATCACAATGAGATTAAGGGAATTTGGGAAGAACTTGCACAGTTCAGTCCCATAGTTCCATGTAATTGTGCGCCTGGAAATGTGAATCCATGTGATGCTATTGTAGCCTATACAGAGAGGCAGGAAACTGATTATCTGATCAGGTTTCTCAGGGGTTTGCATCCAGACTATGAAATTGTCAAGAGCCAGTTACTATCTCGCAAACCACTACCGACTGTATCTGAAGCAGTGGATGATCTACTCCAATATGAACAAAAGCTGAAAGTAGAAACTCATGGTGGAAGGAAAGGCCAAAGTGTGGCACTGGCTGTTGAGACTGAGCAAGATGAGAGACCAAGAGGACAAGGGAAGAAGTTTTGCATCTTTTGCAAAAGAACAAACCATAATGTTGAGCAATGTTGGAGAGCTAAGAAGAAGAGAGAATCACATAATGGAGGAGGATCTCAGGGCAATGCTTCCAGCTTTGCATGATCAGTATCACAAACAGGTTCCAGTGATTCAACTACTGAAGTAAGCTACTCCAGCTCAACTGATACACCAGGAGGTAGCCCAGTAAGTGCTTCTAAAACAGTGGTTGGTTTTACACCAGAAGAAATGAACAAGTTAAGAAGCATGATGCATTCTGGTACTGGTAACCTTTCTTCACCTCCAACCTCACCATCTTTGCCTCATCATGCCTACTCAGTCACTCAAATTCCTCCACCATATCCCAATTACTCAGGTAAATATAGCCTGTCTACCTCAAGTCAGTTTAACCAAACCAATTCCACAAATCTTTGGATTCTAGATACAGGTGCCTCAGATCACATCTCTTGTTCATTAGCCTCATTCATAGAGCATAAACCAGTTCAAGATGTCCATGTGAATCTACCTAATACTACTAGGGTCCAAGTCACTCATATTGGCACAGTTAAACTGCCTACAGGCTTAATTTTTCACAATGTCCTACATGTCCCTAGCTTTTCTTTCAACCTTGTCTCGGTTAGCAAGCTTACCAATGATTGCCCACTAGTCTTACACTTTCATTCTAATCTGTGTCATATCCAGGACCAATTAAGCTTGAAGATGATTGGTTTAGCAAGACAGCATAGAGGACTTTACCATCTCACCTTTCCACCAACCCAAGACCAGAAGCCTGACCACCAAGCAGCCACCATCTTCAATTTCAATCCTTTGCATTTTGATATTTGGCATTGGAGATTAGGACATGCCAGTAGTGATAGAATTTCCATGTTGCATAAATCAAATTCCACTGTAACTAGCTCTAAGATTCTACACTGTGATGTATGTCATTTCTCAAAACACAAAAGACTCCCTTTTCCCAAACAGTACCAGTATTGCAAAATGTCCTTTTGACTTGGTTCATGTTGATATATGGGGACCCTTATCTGTTCAATCATATGATGGCCACTCTTACTTTCTTACTGTTGTGGATGATCATACAAGGGCAGTATGGGTTTATTTAATGAAACACAAACATGAAACCAGGGAATTGCTGAAAGGTTTCTGTGCCCTGGTTCATAATCAATTTAATACCACTGTCAAGGTAATTAGAAGTGATCAAGGGCAGGAATTCCACATGAAGGAATTCTTTATGGAAAAAGGGATAGAGCATCAGATGTCTTGTGTGGAAACCCCAGAACAAAATGCCAGGGTTGAAAGAAAGCACCAACACATTCTAAATGTGGCTAGGTTACTTAGGTTCCAATCTGGTTTGTCCTTAACCTTTTGGAATGACTGCATTCTTCATGCAGTGTACTTGATTAACAGAATGCCAACTCCCATTCTGCATGGTAAACACCATTTGAAGCACTTTACAACCATCAACCATTCCTTGGCAACCTTAAAGTTTTTGGCAGCATATGTTATGCCAGTACACTTGGGCATAACAGGACCAAATTTGCACCAAGGGCAAGGCAGTGTGTCTTCTTAGGCATTCCTGCAGGAGTTAAAGGCTACAAGTTGCTTGACTTAGATGATAGAAGGGTTTTCTTATCTCGAGATGTTGTCTTTTATGAAATAATTCTCCCATTTAGAGATTGTTCAGATACATCAGATTTCCCCTCTTCATCATCTACTGGTCCACTTCCTCAGACCTTGACATCAGCTCCTCCTATCATGGTCCCTGCATCTTCACTTCCTACACCTTCAGCACCTGTTTCCTTTGATCAGGCCTCAGCTGCTAGGGGTGATAATCGGTTCGGTTGCGGTTTAACCGAACCGACCGAGCGGTTAGCCGACACCGATAAGGGGTCGGAACAGCCAACCGCAACCGCAACCGATTGTTCACTCGGTTAACCGCAACCGCCAACCGAGAGGGTCGGTTCGGTTTAACGGTTAACGTTTAACCGCAATAAATGAAAAAGAAAAGAAGAAAAAGAAAAAAAATATTAATTTTACCCACCCCAAGCCCCATTCTCGATCCTTCTCCGTTCCTGCTACCTTTCCCTTTCTCCAAAAGTCAATTCTCTCTCTACCCTCTCCAATTCCATTGACAAATTCCAATCTCTACCTCTCTACTACCCTCTCCCCTCACCAAATCAAAACAAAAAATCACCACATGCACAACTTCCAAATGCCCAAATCCTTCCGCTGCCAAATCTTGACAGAGAAAGACTGTCGAAGGAAGATGCATCAGGCAGATCCAGATCTGAATCTGTCGGCGCCGCGTAGAACATGCAAGGCAAAGCGACGCCGATCGAGGTAGACGAGGGAGGCAATCGATCAGAACTTTCTCTTTTCCGATGGCGGGATTCGCGACCTTGGACTCGGATCGAGCGATTGGTGGTGGCAGGCGAAGAACGGAACTGGGTAAGGAAGCTAAAGGTGAGGCGGCGAGTTCGGAGAGGGAGAGGTATGATGGTCGTGCGAATCGAGATCGGCCGACGGCAAAGAAAGGAAGCGGCGGCGACGGCGTCAATTCTGGACAGCGAGGAGAATTTTGATTTAGCGTTCTCGTTGATTGCATGTCTGGTTTTGAACTAGGAGGTGCCATGGAGGGCGATGATGGGTTGAGAAAGAGGGAGGGTCGAGGCTCACATTGGGGATAGGATTAGGGAGGGCTGGATGTGAGGGGTTGAGGAGAGTGGAGGGATAAGGATGGCAGGGCAACGAGGGAGGAGATGAGAGTTGGGAACTGGGAGAGGTTCAGGAAAGGCAAAAAAGAAAAGAGGGTGGTTGTCGGTTTATACGGTGCACCGACACCACCGTCGGTTATAAACCGCCAACCGACGGTTGCCCATAATTCCCCAAAGCCCCAACCGACACCGCCAACCGATTATGATAAACGGTTATCGGTTAGCCGATTAACCGACATTTTCGGTTCGGTTTTGCGGGTAACCGAAAAACCGGAGACCGTTTAACAGCCCTATCAGCTGCAAGGGGGGATGGTGATTATGATAGTCCAAGTGAAGGTGAAGATGCTGCAAATCCTGCAAATGTCACTCCTGAACTAGTTCCTGAAGTCACTGATCAGGCTGAACAGGACTGTGAATTACTACCACAAGCTGATTTTGAACCTCCACCAAGAAGATTCCAGAGGCAACCAGTATTGCCTGCTAAGCTGAATGACTGTGAACTGGACCCCCAACTGACTTTTGGTGCATTTGGGACAGCAGCAAGTGCAAGTAAGCATCCTATCTCTCTAAGTGTTGAATGTTTGAATGAAGAGGATAGGATATATGCTTTAAGTGTACTGAAGCATGAGGAACCAACCTCATACCATGAGGCAGTCAAATCCATTGAATGGAATAGAGCAGTGATAGAGGAAATACATGCCCTGGAAGCAAACCAGACCTGGGAAATAGTTGAAGCACCACCAGACAAACACATAGTTGGTTGTAAGTGGGTATTTAAGCTTAAATTAAAACAGGATGGTACAATTGAGAGGTACAAAGCAAGACTAGTGGCAAAGGGCTTTACACAGATATATGGGATAGACTTTCTGGATACTTTTTCTCCAGTAGCCAAGATTAACTTAGTAAAGGCATTGCTAGCCATAGCTGCAGTTAAGAATTGGACCCTAGAGCAGTTGGATGTTTCCAATGCTTTTCTAAATGGGGATCTACATGAGGATGTGTACATGCAGGTACCTCAGGGAATTGTATTACCACCTGGAAGTCCTAAGAGTAATATGATCCTAATTCGAGAATCCTCCCAAATCGGACCAAAAACCAGAGTTGCACACGTCGAACTTTTTAGGGGTTTTCTCCTTTCTTGAATAACACGAAATAAAGATGCTTGCGGAATCGATCAAACAAATCCGAACTCGTGAGAAGGGCCAGAAGGTATATGAAACCTTCCAAACAATCTCGAACCCGTGGAAGAGGCCAACCGATATCGTCGATGCTCGCCACAACTAGACGCGTTCTCTAGTTGATAAGAGACCACTCAAACCTCCCGAATCCTCAAAGGAGCGAATAAGCAAAACGTTCACTTTAAAATAGTAAACACTTGTATTCGATTGCTGAAACTTGAATGTTGGGTACCAAATTCGTAGGTCTTACGCCCTCTATTTATAGAGGTCACAAAGACATAAAACTAACCTAAAAGGAATAGGAAAACAAATCCCAAACTAACTAGGAAATATAATACTACTTAAATAAGGACTATAACTCGTTTTTATGACCAAAGGAAGCTCCTTAGACTCTAAGTAATCTCTTTCCTTGTCCTTTTCAAATTTGGATGACTTGGGCAGCAAGGATGGACGTTTTGGGCTCCAAGAAATGTTGTAGGCTGGATCCTTAATGCATTCTCCATTTTATCCATCAAGAATGCTCCCAGTTGATCCTTAAATCGTTGAATTCGAACCTTCATTTTGGGACCACGAGAATTGAATATCGCGCTAGTCGATATCGCATCAAAGAGGATGGCTTGCAAGCTAAAGAAGTCTCTATATGGCCTTAAACAGGCCTCAAGGCAATGGTTTGCCAAGTTAACTAGTTTTCTGTTGAAGAGTGGGTTTTATCAGTCAGCCTCAGATTACTCCATGTTTACCAAGTGGGTTCATGGAAGAATTGTTGTCCTACTTGTATATGTGGATGACATAATATTGGCTGGTGATGCTCAGAAAGACATTGATCAAGTTAAGAACTCTTTGAGCAAAGAGTTTAAGATCAAACTGCTTGGACCTTTAAAGTACTTCTTGGGATTAGAAGTGAATAGGACAGCAGAATGATTGATGGTTTGTCAAAGAAAATATTGCATGGACTTGCTTTCTGATACAGGGTATTTGAATGCCAAAGGATGCAAGTCACCATCAGATCCAAAGATCAAGTTAACAGCAACACAAGGAACTTTACTTGATGATCCAGAACAGTACAGAAGATTAGTTGGAAGGCTACACTACATAACTATCACAAGACCTGACTTGACATATTCAGTGCAGCAGTTGTGCCAATTTCAGAAGAAGCCCTACTCAGAACACCTACAAGCAGCCTACAGAGTACTAAGATATCTCAAATCATGTCCTGATCAAGGTATCCACTACAGCAGCAAAGCAGACTTGAAGCTTGTGGGATTCTGTGATTCAGACTGGGCCAGCTGTCCAGACACTAGAAGATCAACAACAGGGTATTGTACCTTCCTTGGAAGCTCTCTTCTGACATGGAAAACAAAGAAACAAACAACAGTCTCCAGATCATCATCTGAAGCACAATATAGAGCATTCGCTCTATTGGTTTGTGAGATTGATTGGTTAAGAGTATTATTGGGTGAAATGGGTGTTAAAATCCCTCTTCCTGTTGCTGTTTACTATGACAACAAGTCTACAATCCACATTGCTGAGAACCCTGTGTTCCATAAAAGGACAAAGCACATTGAGATTGATATGCACGTTACAAGAGAAAGATTGAAGACTAGTTTGATCAAGCTGTTCCATGTAAGTACAATCAATCAACTTGCTGACATATTCACTAAGGGTTTAGACAGGAATCGACTGAAGGATCTTCTGGACAAGTTGGGAGTGAAGAGAGCACTCACAACTTGAAGGGGGGTGTCAACTTACCTTGGAATCCTGCTGCTAGAAGGATTGCAGACTGAAGAAGAGGCAGAAGACGAAGATGCAAAACGGAGTCGTTTGTATTTTGTTTAAGTTTATTAACAGTGAAACTGTGTCATTTTGTTAAAGGCTTGTTAGCCGTTATTAGCCGTTGCTAAACAGTACTTTGGTTTGTAATAGGCTAATCGTTGGTTGCCAAGTGACAATCTGAACTAAGCTGTTTTCTACAGCTCATATATATACTGCAAACAGAGCAGCCCTGCAACTTTGAGGGTTTTGCTTTACCCTAGCAAATTTTCTCCATATTATGTTTGATGAATGCTTCTCCACATCTCTCTATTGAGTTTGTTCTCTCTTTTCCTATCGATCGGACTGGGAACATTTGATGGGTTTGTAGATCATGATGTTGGGTAGTGTGTGTTACATCAGTCACTAGGTTACTTTTTATTCTCCCACTAATCAGGGTTCTGCTATGTTCCCATTGAAAGTAAAGTGGAACCCTGTGCATGGTGCATATAATCCTTCTAACTGATAATTAGTTTAATGGTCTGTCCCTAAAACTTTATTATCTTCTCACAGTTAATTTTTTCTTTTGCAGGATATTGTTGTGTCATGGAAGATCGCTCGAGGAATTTGATTTGTGATACACGTGATTAGTCTGGGTGGTGGGAGGTTGTTCACTCACTTGGTTGGTAGCTGTAGTTTAGGAAAGCCATTTGTTTTTTTTTTTTTTTTGTAAGGAACGATTTGTCGTTGGTCGAATGGAATGTTGTAAATGTTCTCTGCCAACTTATATGGTTTTGTTACTGATGTAACCAAATTAATCAGTTATTGAATGCTCTAATGTGAGAACTATGAACCCTATTGGTTGAATTTTATGTATACATATGATATTTGTTACTCAGTGCTGGACATGTTTATGTCCGTGTTGGTTTGTTTGTTAGTTTAAGTTTATCTATGAAGTTCTATACAATGTTTTGCGCATTGATTTCATCTGATGTTAATTATCAAATCAAACCCCACCAAATAACTTATGGTGTCATTTCTTTTGTTATGCATGCAAAACTTTCCCAGCAGTTGCTTCAATGTATGGTGCGTATGACCAATTTAATTTGTAATTCGGACAATTCCATTAAACAGGATTGAGATTAGTAATTTCATAATCAAATCACGTTTTTTTAGTATATTTCTCAAGTCCCGGCGCAGAGCGCGGGCAAGGAAGTCTAGTTATATTAAAAGAACAATCAATTTTTTTACTATTTCTTAGAGAGTCACATCCAAGGAGTGACATTTTTGTAATTTTGTTCATCTTAAAATGTGACTATTTGTAATTAACTATAAGTTTAGGGACTTTTTGGGTTATTGTAATTTTCACTACACTAATTTATTTTCTTTTCTAATGAATTCAAACTAATTCAACCCGGTTTGAACCTGGTATTTTTTTTTTGGGTCAGGAACAAGTTTTTATTTTATTTCCTTCTATTTGTTTCAGCGAGTTAAACTCGGTGTCAACGATTGGGTTGGGTGTGCAATTTTGCGACAACAACGAGTTTAGGGAATTTAGTGTTTAAGGTTATGAATGAATTTTATCCACTTTTGTAATCATTGAGTTGGGTCGAGAATGCATTATACCCGTCTTTTCCAACCCGGTATTCGAGTTGTCAAATTTTAGACTGAGAACGAATTCTACTCGCTTTTGTAATTAACGAATTGGGTCATTAATCAACTGTTTTAAATATTTCCTCTTATGACAATTGAACCCAAAAAATTTATCCACTTGTGTAATCATTGAATTGGGTCGAGAACGCATTATACCCGCCTTTTTCAACCCAGTATCGGTGTTGCCAAATTTTAGGCCGGGAATGAATTTTAGGGTGACGAATGAATTTTATCCACTTTTGTAATCATTGAATTGGGTCGAGAACGCATTATACCCGCCTTTTCCAACCTGGTACCAGTGTTGCCAAATTTTAGACTGGGAACAAATTCTACCCGTTTTTGTAATTAACGAATTGGGTCATTAATCAAATGTTTTAAATATTCCTCTTTTGACAATTGAACCCAAAAATTTAATCCACTTTTGTAATCATTGAATTAGATCGAGAACGCATTATACCCGCCTTTTCCAACCCGATATTGGTGTTGCCAAATTTTAAGTCGGGAACGAACTTTACTCACTTTTGTAATTAACAAATTGAGTCATTAATCAAATATTTTAAATATTTCTTCTTATGACAATTGAACCCAAATTCATGTCTGTTCAATCTAATTCGATTCGGTATTAGTGTTGCCGAATTTTAGTCCGGAAATGATATTTACCCGCTTTTGTAATTAATGCATTGGATCGGTTGTGGATTTTGATAAGAGGGCACCGGCGGGTCATGGAAAAAGATGAAGATTTTTTTAAGCACTTTGCATCAATATGTTATTTTGATCCCTATAAACTAGATTTTTATGTTCCCTAATGAAGCTAATTGTGGTTGACATTCTTCACCTATGTACTCTGTATTGTTGTGTACACTGTAGTTTGTTTGCTCATGAGAGTTGCTAATTGTCGCCCTAATTTTACTGATCGCCCTAACTTAAAAAAATGAAAAGTACGTTTTTATCCTTTCCCTCGATTCATTTCATCGCCCTTGTAATTTCCAAGCCTTCCGTAACCTCATACGATTTTTCCCCGGCCCGGAGACGCGCTGTCGCCGCACTCCATCACAGTACGAGATCGGAGGGGTACCCGCCTAAGTGCCCCGAGCAGATACCTTCCTTAGTACCCGTCACCGGTCCCACCTCAGCATTAGCACCGTGACAATAGCTGCCGGATAGATTAAAGCGACCATAATGTTCCAGCCAAAGGATAATTGCATTAAATTATAAGAAATTTTCGAAGGTAGTAGTCCCTGTTTTTGTCTCTAAAAGTCACAGGGAATATTGATTGCGATGCTCTCCAAAAAGCTCTTGTTTTCCGTTGTTCCCCTTCGTTTGGCGGTCTATGTGTGGGTACTGGGTAGAATTGGAACTTATTTCGAACGGCGATGAGACTCTATGTGGTGGAGTGGTGGCTATGAACGAATTGGCAGAGTCAAGGTAACCGCATCTTTGAGATTTCGAGGAAAACCGGCGAAGGGTTTTGGGAGAGTCGATCGGTAAGCGATGTTGGTGGAGAATTGGAAATTCTAGGGCTCTCTTTGTTCTATTGAATTTTTATGGATTAATAAAGGACAATTATGTAATATCACGCTTTAAGTTAGGGCGATAATAGTAAAACTAGGGCGACGTTTAGCCATCCAGTTGCTCATATATATATTTTTACAGTCCACCAGATTATTCTACAAATTGCATGCTTAATGTGAATCCGGATGTCGTAAATTAAAAGTCACTACGAACCATGAAGCAAACCTTGCCCTGGTTTGTTTGACACCTAAAGAGTTTGAATCGTTGTTGCAACAACAGCAAAAGCAATACCTCATAGATCGATGCGGCAGACGATCTATGGTAAGAAATATACATTGCGAGCTCAAACTATGATGCACCACACATTCGTATCTCCGCAGTCTAGCACACAAACTTTTAAACCACTGCTCTGCTGTTTGTCTAAACTAGTTACCCCTTTACTCACTTTTGATCGTGAGGCCTCACCATATGCACCATATGGTGTTTAGGGTGTCAGCTTCTAATGATACTACATTTATCTCTATCCATCAATCTTGTCTTTTGACTTCCAATTGTCTTCTCTATGTGCATCCCTCATATTAATGTTTAAGTTGTGTTGTACTTTCAATTCAATAATGAAGAATATGTTAGCAGTTTGTCATTTAATCAATATTCATGTTGCAATAATTTCACGCGCCAACGCGTAGCGCGGGATTCCTTTCTAGTTAATATAAATGCCACATGACCAAAAGCTCTCACACATAGTGATATTGAAAAGAATGAATTAAACCAATATATGGTATGATTATTATGGACCAACCAACCAAAGAAAAAATTTCCATATCTGTACATCCTCCATTCTCCAGGCAAAACCAGGTCCAGTTTGACCTCTGCTTCTTTCAGGAGATCCAATCTTCTTCAAAATTTCTTGTATCATCCCACCATTAATCATCACCCATTCTTACCTCGAGAAGCAAGGCTGAATCCACGGTGATGACATTTCCTGTTCACCATCTCTTTATTAGCATACGATTTTCCAAACAGTTCACCACTGTCAGAAGACCAAAGCACCTTCGTCATCCCACCTCTGCTACCATCCTCTCTGTCTACCCCCACTCTCTGCCTCGGCATGCTCACCGACCTCGCCCTAGCCCTCGCAGACTCCGTAGCTGCCATGTACGTCGGTAGAACAACTGACGAGCTTGTGATCGTCGTCCTCGAACTCTCCCCATCACTGTCGTTGTCGTCATCTCGTGCAACTGAGCTGCTGCTCCCCCTACCCCTAGTGTGGTGGCTGCTGTCCTTACTGGTTTTCGTAAGCGAGCTGAATTCTGTCTCGCTATTGAATGAAGTAGAGAAGGGGAGTATTCTCAGATTCTCCATCCAGTGCCTGTCATTGCTTCTCTGATCCTTCTCCCCCATCAGTAATTCCTCTAGTAACTGTGAGTTCATCCTTTCCTGAACCCCTCAAATAAGTGCAATCCCCCAAATTCTCAGATCAATCTTGTTGAGTAGTTAAATGAAAGAAAGGAAGGAGATCGATTTTCTAGGTACCTGGTGGGAGAAGGAGTAGCTCATCATCCTATCTCGCTTCATGCTACCTTCTTGCTTCCTTAACCATACAGCTTCTAGCTCTTCCTTGGACAACCTACTGAAATCCCAACTTCTCTGGCTGCTGCATCTAAGCTGTGCCCCATACAGTTATTGTTACAATGGTCAATGCATCTAAGCTTCTAGCTCTTCCTTATACGTATACTTATGAAATCACAAACTCTCAGTGTCTTTTAGATCGAAAAACATTACCGAGTGGCCGGTGGATTCAGAATGCTGGTGATCGGCCCTCCCCTGCTACGAGATTCGAACAAGAAAGCAAACAAATGTGTCACATGAAGTTCAAAGGTGCTTGCATCTGGAGCTGAACGTACTCTTGAGTATCAAGTTAAGAGCCAAAAAACAAGAAACCTTGAATTCCTTCTCTTCTTGTTCATCTATGGGAGCGGATTTACAGTCATCATCAACACCATCGTCTAGTACTATCAAATGCTTGAGCTTGTTGATGATGGCGGATTGTCGTCGTCTAAACAGCTCGCCACGAACAATGGCTTGAAGCTTCACGACTCCCCTCAATGCTCTCAACGCTTTCCTGGCCTAATCACCCCCAGTTTTCCAAAATTTGCAAATGCGAAACCCTCAAAATCTTGTAACCAATTAATTAATTAATGAAGAAACTTACGAGGTAGGCACGGAAGACACTCTGGATCAGAATGGCAGCCCGATTCCGGTCTCGTTTAACTGAACTGCCGTGAGGAACGGTGAGGCGGACGAGCTCGGAAGCGGCTTTGGCGGCCGCAACAGCCGCCTCGGCGGCGGCGGCTGCTGCCATGGCGACGGTGAGAGCGTAGTTCTTCTGGCGCTCTGTGGCGTCGGTTAGCTGTGTGGTTGGGGCCGGAATAACTGGGTTCTGCCCCAGCAGCCTCAGCCTCCGTGAAACCCATTTCCATTTCCCTCTCTTCAATTTCTGAAAACCAAAACAAAAATCACTCAGTCTCTGCCCTTTGCCACTCCTCTCAGGACGCCATTATGAATATCAGAAACAGAGCAGAGAAAGAAGGGACCTTTTCGGCCAGGTGGCAAGTGAAGATCTTCTTCATCCAGCCATACCAGCAGCCCCCTTTACTGTCCGCCATTGACGAATCAAATGGGAGCCCGATCGATTTTCACCCAGGGTGATTATAAGAAAATCAAAAGCTACCCATTTCTGCAATCGATTCCCGGAATCGGAAAGAGCCCATCTTTCGGTGTTCGAGAAACAGAGGGGAGCTCAAAAACTTAAAATCTTATAAGAGCTCAATTGTAAACAGAGTGTGATTTCTTGCTGCCCAGAACTGAGAGTTAATGGGTTTTAAGTGAAGATGATCAATTAATTGCAGAAGAGAAATGGGTAGCAGAGTGGTAATCGAATTAATTAAAAATGCAGTAGCTGCAGAGTGAATTGGACTATTGGAGGCTGAGTAGGGCTCTTCGTCGCTCTCTGTTTTGCGGAATTTTCTGTTTGGATTTTTTTTTCCCCATTAAGTTAATGATGGAAAGATGAAAGAGAAAGAGGATGCGAGGCCCCCGCAACTTTTGGCGCGGTTCCTACTTTTCTCAGCTAAGCTCGTCCACGTCATCATTGATACTTGACTTGTTCAAATTCCCATATTGATAGTGGGGTAAATTGCAATGTTGGTCATTGAATTTACTAAAACCTTCATGTTTGGTCACTAAAAATATTTAATTCCATTCGTGGTCACTGAGATTAATTAAACATTTCAAATTTGGTCACTCTCCGTCCAATTCCGTTAACTTTGTCTGATGTGGCAGTCAACTCTCAAAGTTGACTGTTAACTGAGTGACGTAGCAATTAAAATATAATAAATAAAATAAAATTTAATCATTACCATTTCCAATTCATTTTCAAAATAAAATAAATAAATAAAATTGGAAAAAAATTATTAGAACTACCGGTGCTGAGATCGTCGACTTGCTGCGGAAGCACACCTGCTGAATTCGAGGACGCGGCCGGAAAAGTGTGGCGGTTCCGGTACTCCTACTGGAAGCAGCCAGAGCTACGTGCTGACGAAGGGTGGAGCCGGTTCGTGAAGGAGAAGGGCTTGAAAGCCGGCGACATTGTCAGCTTCCAGAGATCCGCCGCCCGGCATGAGCAGCAATTGTACATACATGGACTCGAAGACCAGGAGTAGTGGTAGCAGTGGCAGCGAGGGAGGGGTTGGGGTTGGACCGAACCAAGTGGTTTGTTCGGTGGTCCAGATGGTTCAGATGGTCCGGCTATTCGGGGTGAATATATTAAAACTCCGGGAGCGGCGGCGGCAGTGAGGGTGGCGATGGGTGTAATGGGAAGAGGTCGGTGAGGGAGATGGAGGTAGTGGCGTTTGAATATTGCAGTAAAAAACAGAGGTTCATTGGAGCTTTGTAGCATATCATCATCACAAATTCAAAATACAAAGTTCCAATCTTTTTCACATTTTATTTTGTAATTTTCCTTTTCATTTCCTCCTTGTGGGTAATTTTGTTCGTAATTTCCCTTTCTCTCTTCTCCAATCAATTTTTTAATTGTAGATTTTAGAATCTTTCGAAGATGTGGAGATAGGAGAAAACGGAAGGGAATAGAAAATAGAAAGGTCAGGCCCTGGATGGACTATGTCGAGCTGGCCGACACCAATGTCGACTTCCTCGAGTCCGTATCGACGGAGCTCTTGCTGGCGACGGAGGGCGACGACGATCATCGCGAGGACCAACCAGCAGATGTGCGTCTACGGGTTGGTGCAGAGCGTCGGCGCGTTGGCGGTCGGGGGCCGGCGTTGGGTTTATCGTCGATGGTGAACGCGTGCTGTACAGCTCATATTTGGTAATTCTAATAAATTTTTTTCAGTTTTATTTATTTTATTTTATTGTAAAAATGAGTTGGAAATTATAAAAAAATTAAAATTTATTGTATTTATTATTTTTAATTGCCAGGTCACTCCGTTAACGGTCAACTTTAAGAGTTGACTGCCACATCAGACAAAGTTAAAGGAGTTGGCCGGAGAGTGAACAAATTTGAAACATTTAACTAATTTCAGTGACCACGAATGGAATTAAATATTTTTAGTGACCAAACATGAACGTTTTTAGTAAATTCAGTGACCAACCTTGCAATTTACCCATTGATAGTGTGATTCACTAAATACATCCTCATCAATCATTTATCGCTCAATGTGATTATTTGAGAAAATACTAGTTAGTGTAGTCCATAATAATATCATTGATCATACACCAAAAGAACATTTTTGTAGAACTACGACTGATAAATCATAACAATTTTGGATATGATTATAAGTGGCCTCTTACTTCTTAAAGCAGAGTGCCAATAATCGTTCCTTCAAATCTATATTCCTTAAACTTAGCAATGTAATCATTGAAAATTAATTCTAAGAGATAAGGGGAAAAGCACTACTTGCTTGCAAATAATGCAACATTAGTGTAAGTTTAGGACGAAAATCATATGAATCTTGAGTCACTCGTTTAGCTCTACAACAAATTGATAGGAGTTCAATTGACAAAAATCCTGATCATCCCCATAAAATCACCGGTTTAAGCAAGCAGTAAGTGACCCATGGTTGTCAAACCGGTCTCATGCCGGCCGGTTCAACCGGGTACAACCGGTACAGGTCACCAAACTGGCTGGAAAGAGGCCGGTATTTAACTGTGGTCAAATCCGGTCAATTCTGAAAATTTCGGCCGATTAGACCAGAAACCGGAATTCAATGTTACACATATTTTATCCAAAAAATAAAAACCCTTATTAGGATTTGAACCAAATACCTCATGTTCGTTTTAGACTCTCTTATACACCAGTAGACTACAGCAACTTTGTTGTGTATATTAACTTTATATATTATATATCTAACACTAAACTTTACACAAATCATTATAAACATTAATAAAATTCATTTTATATACTTTTATTTTTAAGCATCTAATTGCTTAGTATTAGTTACCAATTCTTAGATATAAATTATTTTGTGTGAAATAATTTTTCTAATTGCTTTTTGATGACTACTTTATTTGGAATTGACGATTTTCATTTGTCTAGTATATTTTATTAAAACCGGCACAACCGGCGTGAATACTGGTTGTACCACGATCGGACCATTCCACTTTCAAAACCGGCACACCGGCATAAACCGGTTTGACAACCTTGAAGTGACCTAATAATACTAATTTTAACAAAAGAATTGAACTAACAGGAAGAATTGGGTGAAAAGTACGAGTCTCTAGTCATTGTTGGTTTTGACTTTTGACTATTGAATTATGTCCATAAGCAATTACAAGTTCACAACAATCCAGACAAACAAAATGGTTCCAGTAAGCAAAAATAGTAGGATGACTCTTCTTTGCGGGTTCTAAGCAATTACAACAATCTAGCCAATGAGTTGAGCAAGATATCCATCCTCGTCATACAACAGACATCAAATGAACACAATTTGTCATTCAATAACATGAGGTAGAATTGAGACCTAGCTTAGATTGAAAGAAAGGAGAGTTATAAAGGCTCAGAATCCAACCCATTTGGGGTACTATCTTAGCATTGCCACGGATGTTTCACTGGACTACAAGGTTTTCGCCCACACATGAACCAAAGTTGCATGCTTGAAAAACTGACAGCATTTTATCTGCATACAGACAAAAGTGCAGCAAACAAACCCCAAAGTAGTAGATGGGGATTGATAATTTCCCGCACAACGTTACACAAGTTATCACCGTTTGGTAGATCCACATCTCAACGCCGTCGGAGGATCTCGACCCCCAGATAATCTAGAGGTCCATGTACAGCAACATGAGGCTTCCCGACTTTCACCCGCACAGCAGAGATTCGAGGGTAGTTTGTCAGAGTTTTAGTTGCAATCTTTTGAGCCACAAACTCCAGCAGATTCTGCGGTGGTCCTTCAACAACTTCTTTCACAATGCTGTTGCATTATCATCATACAGAGAAAGCACGTTTAGTGGCAGTCAATTGCTAAGGACCATAGTTCAGAGCCCCAGGCCCTTGCCATAGGCATCATTGCTCACACGGTCCACAACACAAGCGAATTAGACTAGGCGCGTGCATGAATGCTTGTAGCAAATTACTATAAGTCATATATGCTAGCAGAATGACAAAGGACTATAGGCGAGAAATTTCTCACCGGTAGATATCAGTGTAGCTGATGGTGTCAGTCAGCTGATCGGAGATTCCAGCTGCTCGGAGGTCCATCCAGGCATCTACATCGATCAGAAACTTCTGCCCCAGTGACCTCTCTTCCTGCTTCACCCCATGAAACCCATGGAACTTCAGACCTCTTAGTATTAGCTTATCTCCTCCTACTATGTCATCACTTTCCATTCTAGATGCATTTGCGAAGCATAAAGGAGTTTGAATTCATTAGTGGGTACCCAAAAGCAAAGTCCCTCCTTTCAAATACATTCTCAAATACCAACCCAATCTTGTCCAAAATTGCAGAATAGGAACACAAATATTTTCCCTAGTTAACAGTTCAACTTTGGCTATAGTTTCCCTCTCAGGAACACCATAAATAGCCTGATGAAATTTTCAAGCAAGACCATGGGAGCTATAACGAGAAGCTTATTCGCCGGAAAACCGACAACGGAAGTACAATCGGTGAAGAATCAATCACTCACTTGGAATTCGACGCCCATTTCATGATCTAAGATAAGATAGGTGGGAAAAGGAAAAGCGGATATCTTACTTCGAACCAATACGACGGGATAGAGACGGCAGCCTGCGAATCGGAGGGAGGAGTGGGAGACTGGGAGCTGGAGTGTCTTTTTTGGAGCGTGAATGCGGCGAGAGAGATAGGGAAGGTAGGGAGGAGGTAAAAGGAAGATACATACAACGGGGAATGGATCAGGTCAGTAATCTTATAGTGAGTAATCATGAGTAACCCGTCCACATCAGCATGACATCAGCATCCTCTTTCTCATGGAAAGCCTTTAATTTTTTCCTCTTTAATCTTTGACGGACGATTTCTCGCTCATTTTAAGTCGAAATTTAATTTTTTTTGCACAGTTAGATCAGATTAATTGTGCTCTTCAAAATGATATCCACTTTAATATATTTTTCGAACAAAAAAAATTGAGACTTTTTTTACCAGCCTATACCATATGGTATTGACTGGTATTGAAATAAAAGCATACCTATGTTTTGAAAAACGTACCATGGTGGTATGAACAAACCAATACTGTAGGATGGTTGAATACATGATAGTAGAAGTATATTAATTGTAATTTACGACTTTTAACATTGTATACCACACAATACCACCCCGTACCAGGGTGGTATTGTATGGTATTGTGTGGTATTTTTTGGTCCTGTAATTTGTTCACCCAGAAATTTGTAGATCCAATAGATCATGATGAACTCGTCCCTTCTGTGCAAACGTTTTCAAAAACGAATTAAAAACGAAGAAGATACCATACAATACCACCCCGTACCAGGGTGATATTGTATGGTATTGTGTGGTATTTTTTGATCCTGTAATTTGTTCACCCAGAAATTTGTAGATCCAGTAGATCATGATGAACTCATCCTTGCTGTGCAAACGTTTTCAAAAACGAATTAAAAACGAAGAAGATACCATATGGTATGCAGTTGGTACCGAGAGGCCAGAATTTTTTTTTCCTAAAAAAATATTGAAAATTGATCTCATTTTGTAGAGCACGGTGAACTCGTTACATCTGTGCAAAAAAAATTAAAATCCGAGTTAAAACGAAAAAAATATGAGTCAATTAAGAAAACTAGTGAAAATAAAAATAACCTTTAATTCTCCATCCTTAGATCTGGATTTTCTAAATGAATGGTCCAGATTTGGTTATTGATGGATGCATAACCCATGGTTATGCACCCTATCTTGAGCCCATACAACGTGCACGATTTGGAATGCAGAGGTTCAAATCTAATTATGGCCTTTCCCAAGCCCAATAAGCACATTGGCTTAATCGCTTTGTCTTCCTCCTAAGTTGGCGCCTTCCGAGGCGAAGGTTCAGAAGACGATCTGGGGTAGAGTCCCCTAATCGATTTTGCCATCGATTTGTCCTCTCTCGGCTAAAACTAAGCCCCACGATTCGGTGGCAAGGCGAGCTTCAATTTGGTGTTGAAGAGCGAATCGGTGACTACTCACAAACAGGGGAGGAATCCCAGTGCCTCTGTCATTGGATCCCCTCCCTCTTCCTCAAAACACAGGCAAAGATTGGTGACGATTTGGGTTCAAAATCTCGAGAAGACCTCACTGGTCGATCAAGATCTCCAACCGCAGTCGATTGGCAGGAGAGAAAATCCCTCTTCTGTTAGAACGAGAGGCATCGACTAGAAGGGTGAAGACAATCGCCAGCGATATTCTGCGGCTGCTGGTGTCGTTGGACCAAGGGAAAGCTTTGTTGTGGAGCGCAGTGCGCACCAACTTCACCGTTGCTTTGTTGTGGAGCGCAGTGCGCACCAACTTCACCGTTTTTCCAGGCTAATAAAAGGGTGGATAACTGTCGCCGCGCTGGCGCCTCCGCCGCCCGGAGAGCAGAATCCTTCCGATCACTGGTAAAGGCAGCGAGGAGATCTCCCTCTTACGATGTGCAGAGCACTATGTGAACTTAATCCTCGGCAGAAATGGATGGCCGTCCTGCTTTCCTGCACCAGATTTGTGTAAAATTGGGGTCTCCTTTCCAATTGCCAGATTTTGTTTGGCTTTCGGTTTATCCCTTCTTGCTTCACTTTTGCCAATTAGGGGTTTCTTTGGGACAAATTGGGTTCAGATTGCCGTGCTTTGTAGTATTTTCTTTCTTTGTTTTGGTATTGTTTCCTTCTTTGTTTAAATTCAAGGCTGTATCTTCCGCAACACTGAGCTCAACCACCAGCCACCCCTAAGTGAAATGGCGTCGCCTGCATCATCTTCCAGCTCCTCCGCTCCAGGTGGCATGACGTCGACCTGGTGGTTTTCATCCTTATCCTGATTAAGCTTCAGCATTAATAGTGGTTGTGTGAGGGTTACTAGGCAGAGGCCGTGTGGCAGTGGGTACAGGGATGGCAATGGGTCGGCTTGGGGCGGATTTTGTCAAACCCAAACCCATGGGTTTATCCGTCAAAAAAATCCAAGGTAAAACTCATTGGGTTTGAAAAACTCAAACCCAACCCAACCCGCTGGGTATCCGCGGGTTCATGCGTACCCGTGGGTTTTTGTGGTAAAAAATTTATAATAACAAGTTTCTTTCAAAATAAAAGTTTAACATAAATTTTCTCATACAAAAAACATCAATCTAGAGCATACAAGCAAACCGCAAATGATCAATACAAATTGTTCAATAAAGATAAACATCTATAAACAATAAGATTAATTGAAAGCTTCTTCATCGTCAACTAAGTTTCTTCACTCTCCACTTCATAATATCAACTTCATTCTAAACGAACAAATTATACATGTCTCCACAAACATAAAGAATATTAGTTGTTTAACGAAGATATATTATTTAGAATATTAAATATATCGGAAAAGTAATTATATGTGTGTGGGCGGGTACCCATGGGGCGGGTTTACCCAAACCCAACCCGACCCGGTGAATAGTGTAGCAGGTTTAAACCCGAATCCGGCCCAAACCCGTCAACACGGGTTTTACCCGCGTTAACCGGGTTGGGTCGGGTGGGTACCCGTGGGTTCGGGTTTTGTTGCCATCCCTAGTGGTACCTTATGTGGTAACTGGTAAGGCCAGCCGGGCAGGAGGTGAGAATTGTCTTTATTAGGCTGAGTCTACTTAGTTAGTCTATCTAACTGACCGGTTACAGGTGGTACATCATCGTTTAATATTTGACTAGAACGGAAGCCTGCGCTACGTGGTGGGGCGTGAAATTATTGCAACATGAATATTGATCAAACGACAAACTGCTAACGTATTCTTCGTTCTTGAATTAAAAGTACAACATAACTTAAACATTAATGTGAGGGATGCACATACAGAAGACAATTGGAACCCAAAAGGCAAGATTGATGGATCTATCTATCTATATCTATATCTTCTATCTATCTATCTATACTATATATTATGGCAATTCAAAAGCAATCTCTTGCCACATAAGCACTTGGAGGATCCACAATTTGCCAAGTTGGACAACTTTTTTACAAACAAAAAAATTAGTTATTAATGTATTTATAGAGCTGTCTCTCTCTTCTTTAATATTTCCATTTCTTTTAACATTTTTTTTGTTGCTTTAATTAATAGTAGGTTACATGTTGCTAAACTTAACCAAACACACATAAATAATAATTTTTTTGTCCAGTAAAAAAATATAAATAAGAAAACAGAAAGTAACATATACCACATTTATTTAAATAAAAAATATCTGATTAAACCTTATGAAGTAAATTTTTTACTCATTTTTACTAAAATTGAATGATAAGTTACATTTTGATGAAAAATTAGACAAACATGAACATAAAAAATAATTTATTTTTTTCGATTAAACAAAATTTATATGAAAAGAGAGAAAAATAAATATTTGACATTCATTTACCTATGAAAAATAAACTATATTACTTTATATTTTGTTGCAATGAAACACTCTTTTATTCTTAAATTATATGTTTATAAAATAAAATAAGTATTATTTAGCAAAATTTCAGAGTATAATCTTGATCGATCGAGTAGTTATATTTATTTATTTAAAAAAGACTTCTTATTCCTTAGATCATGTTCTACCTTAAACTCCTCAAATGAAGAGAAATCGCATGTGCAATAATTTTAAATATGTCTTAAGTTCACATTAATAATATTTGTTCTATATCATGTTGACTGAGCAAGCTCTATTGAGGTCCTATGTCGTATGCTAAGAAATTTTCTTTCGGACTTGGACTTATCTTCAACGATTATAAATCAAAACTAGCTTTTTACCCGGCCAGTTGGCCAGGGAGATTTATTTTATAATTTATATTAATTAACTTATTTATATGTTTAAATCATTTTCGATCTTCTAATTATTTTGTGTTCTTGATTCATAAAAAAGTTTGTAGTATGTCTATATTGAAAATTTCCAATATTTAGCACGCTCACTTGTGATGCTTCGGTTTTCTAATCATAAATTATGCCGCTGTCACATCCCATTTAGAACTTATGTCAAAATTTGTCAACCAAAACACTAATATTTAGCATATGCCAACCTGAACCACACACACATCTATATAGTTCAAGCTAGTGTGCGCCAGGAGTACGCTATACTCTTGCGTTTACACTACCATACGACCATTGGAATTAGCAGGAATTTTGGGCATGATACTATACCCTAACCCTTAATGAGTGAACCCTAGGTCCTAATTATCTAAATCATAAAATATAAACCCTATGATG